CATATCTATAGGCATCATGGGTGGACCAAGCATATCCCCCATCTCAAGCACTAACTCTACTATCTGATAATAATCTGGGATTAATTGGTAGATATCTACTGCATTTCTAATCCATCAATCCTAAATATACATGATTTAACAATTTAATTCCATCCTGAAAAATAAAGCTAATTTACTCTTTTAAATTCTACTTACATAGGTTGTGGCGCATAGGCTCGCAACGGTGTGGAGTAGGATGGCAGGATACCAGCTCTGATACCAACTGTAATGACCCTGACTACGTGGTCGTTACTTAACTATAACTGCACTCTGATACCAACTGTAACCACCCTGCTGATTGATCGTCACTGTAACTGATTTTAACATATGCTTTTTGAAACTCCCAAAATTTGAGAGACTTTTTTTTAAATGCTATATAGAATGCTACCTAATTTTTTTTTTTAATGTTGTATGAATGCTGTAGCATTTTATTTTTAAAATGTTATATAGAACGCTGTAGTATTTTCTTTAAAATGTTGTATAGAATGTTGTAGCATTTTCTTATAACTTAAATAAAACGCTATAATGAATGTTGTAACATTCTAAAACAAAATGCTATAGCGAATGTTGTAGCATTCTGGGCATAAGTTTCTTTCTCTTAAAAAAACTATATCATTCATTTTTTTATATAGAATGTTGTATCATTCTTTAAAAATTTCTGTAACGACATAAATTCTAGTTTCCCACTTTTGAACATAGCAAAGTGTTTGTACTTCAAATCAATTCCTTTTCTAAAACATAAATTTACACATAGTTATATTTTAACTTCTCAAAATCCTACTAGCTTACATAAACTTAACAATCAAACTACAAACTTTCAAAACACAAGTTCATAGACATATTCAACAAAATCTTTTTAAAACTTTAAACTGTTGCGGAAATAATTGCGTGCGGTATCCATTCCCCAACCTCCATTCCGCTCGTCCGCTACCTCGCCATCAGTCCATCAAACATTATGTACAAGTTGCTTACCTACAGTATAAATGCTCTGAAATGAGCTTTCGCTCAGCAAGTAGGAACTATTACTCACAAAATAACTGAAAGTTCACATGAATGATATGCATGAATTGCTTATGCTAATTTATAATGTCCTATCAAAGTTTTACTGTCTGTGTTTTACTATCTGAACTTATCTTACTTACTGATGGGCCTGAGTGATCGTACCGTTTGCGCGTAATCATCGGGACATAAGGGTTTGCAAGGTCCCCAATGACACCATGATTTAAATTGAACTGAGTGCCTCCCTTGCGAAGGACCTATTTTTGTTCCTTTATCTCCCTTGCGGAGTCTGATTATCTCCCTTGCGGAGTCTAATTACCTCCCTTGCGGAGGCTGGTACGGCACTCAACTGTGTTCCTTCTGAGTTTCTTCTTATAAGTTCCTCTTTACTTATTAATGTGTATGCAACATGACATAGCATAACATACTATAACATGGAATGTACTCAAACACATATAATTCCTGTGCACTGCTTAAGTGTATGCAGTATGACATAGATAGCATATATAACATTAAATGTACTCAAACACATAGAATTCATGTGTACTGTTCATTTCAAAATCTATTTATACTGTAGACAAGATTCCTACTTACCTGTTTCAAGGAGTGGAAATCATCTATTTGCCACACTGTCTGTTCTCTTTCTTGCTTTTTATGAGAATAAACATCCACTAAGAGTGTGAGATTAACTATCACTTGTTATTCTACTTTAACAAGCTTATAAGAAAATCTGATTTCTCTAGTTATGGCTTTCTTTCTCTTCCTACCTTAGAGGATGGAAAACCTTGTTTCAAACTTAAAGATTAGGTTTATTGAATCCTCATAACCTTATTTTTCCATTAAACAAGGTCCAAACTTAAAATACTTTCTTGAGACTATACTTTGAGTTCCTTAATGAACTCTTTTGTTCAACACCAAAACCATTTTAATACTGTTCAACACAAAAATTGTTTTAACAGTTTTGTAGTGTTTTTTTCTAAGAAAATAGTTTAAAGCTTCTATATAGAACTAAAACCAACTTTAGCCTCAATTCTAGAACTAAATCTAGGTTTAACCTCAAACTCTCAAACTAAATTTCGGCAGAGTTTCGCCTTATTTTTTGTGTTTCCTAAGTTATCCTTAGCTCGTTTTATCCATTACTTCATTTTCTAATCATAACTAACAATCTTTCCCATACAATTTAATCAACTTAGGAACCATACTCTAGGGTTTTATCCAATTTCTCACAAGGCTTTTCATATTTAAAAGTTGCTAGAAACATAATCTAACAACCACAAATTCATCCTTTAATCACTAAGTTTTCAATTCCTTTATCAATTGAAATTCAATCATCAACTTAGCAAACTTTCTCCATACTCTCTACCACATCCAAACCATTTGGCCAAGGTAAGAAAAAGGAGAGGAAAACTGAAATCTCACCTTAGAAGAATGAAGAACAAACTCGAGTCATATTATTCCTCAATAATTCTGTTGATTTCCGCTTAAATCACACTTTTCCTCACTTTGGTGAATTTTTTCCTTTCTTTCTCTCTTGGCTAGTCACTCTCTGTTCTTGTGCATGAAAAATGACCATTTCCTTGTGTTTCTTCACTAATGAACCGACCTTCCCAAAAAGCAAGGGTTCAAATTGCAATTTGACTTTTCCAAGGACCATTTTGCAAGAAAAGTCAATTTTTCCTTCTCCATTAAGTATTTGGCCGGCCATTCCTTCATCATCTCATTTTGCATGTGTCAAAATCTCCTCCATCCATTCTTTTGTTACTTTTAATCTCAACCATTGATTATTTAATAATTATCCTATTTTGATTCAGCTTAATTTCCTGTCCAGTACGCGTTTTATCTGCGTTTTTTAAACAGTTGGTCAACTTAGTCAACTTTGACCATTTTTTACTAAGTTTTTGAGGGCGACGTTTTGGTCGACTCTTGGTCAACAAATTTTGACTCGGTACACTTAAATCAGTCGAAACCCCAATTTACGCGATTCGGCTTTCCGGACCTATTTTTCGTCCGTTTTTCTTTCCAATTGCTTCTAAAACCCTAGAATTGATGTTTTTCAATTCTTTTCTATTTCTTAACCTTAAGATTCGTGTGTTGGCCCATTTGTGGGTTTAGCATAGCGTTCTACACATCTTTCCTTATTGCAGCCTGAAAATCGGTAGCAGCATCTTACCTAACTTAAATTTCTAATTGTTTACTTAATGTCATCTTGCTTACATAAGCAAGGTTTAGTGAACACTTGGTAATCACCAATTAATGTTCTATTCTTATAGCTATTCTTATTTCTTCATACTGACTTTTAAGAATTTACTTAGTTAACAGGAAATTTCAGTTCCCGACTTTGTCAACTTTTAAACTCATATTGCATCTGAATTTCTTTACTGAAACACTACCCCTTTAATTTTCTCTTATCTATTTGGAAATTAAGGGTTTTCTCTTTAAATGTCAGAGCATTTCTCTATATGCTGCTAACATTATACATGCACTAAGAGATTCTTAAAATTAAGATTTTCAAACTGTATATGCACGGAGAATTCTTCCGCCTTAATTGCAGTAAGAATTTATCTGTTCTTAAATTATGAACTCATCATAAAACTTACTACAAAATTTAAAAATACTGATATTAATTTTATAAATCTTTCGGTCACAAAATATAACAATATATTACTGAAAAAAATCTTTAACTTAAATAAATAAATTTACATTATTTAATTTTAAATTTTTCACGGTCATTACATAATTAGCGAAAAAAATCTTTAACTTAAATAAATAAATTTACATTATTTAATTTTAAAATTTTAACATAATTAGTGCACAATTACATCAAATCCAACCCAGTCGAGGTGGGTTATGTCAGCAATTTATGGGTCGACGAGGCACGACGAAAAAAGAGAGTTTTGGCAATTCATTAAGAATTATGGGAAGGATCTGACTCAGCCTTGGCTTATTCTGGGAGATATGAATGGGATGCTTTCTTCCTCAGATCAATCGGGCATAGGTCCATCTCCGTCATCTGTCCAAGTTCTTAGGAAAGCTATGAATAGCCTCGAATTAATTGACCTTGGCTCATCGGGTGGTCGCTATACTTGGTGCAATAGGCGATTTTCTGCTGTTGGTGGATGCTCGTGGGTTCATCTTGACAGAGCTCTTTCCTATCCTGAGTGGAGAGCTTTGTTTCCTCAGGCAACTGTCCAAAATCTCGTTTCTGCCAACTCTGATTACTACCCAGTCCTCGTTAATAGAATGGGTTCAAACTATAATTTGTTTCATCCTTTCCGTTTTGAGGCAGCTTAAACGAAGGATGTTCGAAGCTCATGGGTTGTCAAGCAGGCTTGGAATTCTGTGATCCATCCTAAGTCACAGGTTTAACTCTTAAAATGAACTGGAGCTACCCGGAAGGCTCTTCGATGTTGGAACAGGGATTAATTTGGCATGATTCAAGTTAAAATTAGAGAAGCTAGGGCTGAATTACTCAGAGACTCGGTGGAAGATTATGCACATCAGGCTAGAGAGTATTTTACAGCAGGAAGAACTTCTCTGGACGCAGAAGGCTAAGGTTAAATGGTACAAGGAGGGTGACAGAAACACAAGGTACTTCCATTTGACAATTATAATACGTCGAAGGAGAAACTTCATTGAGAAGATTAGAGACATAATTGGAGTATGGCTAGACTCTCGGAATGATATTGGAAATGCCTTCGTCGCACACTTCACAGAGATCTTTTCCAGAACCCCTGTGAGCTTCCCGTCAGATTTTGAAGGATATAGCCTCTTAAATTATCTCCCCTAAGGAATCCTCTCTTTTGCAAGCTGCCCCCACTGACGCAGAGATTAGATGGATTGTTTTTGACATGCACCCGCTCAAGGCCGCAGGATCCAATGGTATGTCTGCAATTTTTTATCAACATTACTGGGACAATGTCGGTAAGGATGTTATTTCCTTAGTGTCTCATTTCTTTTCTACGGGTGAGTTGTTGGATAACCTTAAAAAAACCAATCTTGCTCTTATTCCAAAATGTGAGCTCCCCTCGAACCTAAACCATTTTAGACCGATCAGTCTTTGTAATGTGGATTATAAGATTATCTCTAAGATTCTAGCTAATAGAATTAAACCTTTGCTCCTAATATTATTTCTCCTCTCCAAGCTGCCTTTGTAGGGAGCCATTTCATAGTAGAGAATAGTGTGGTGCTCAATGAAGTCATTCACTCGATGAAAAAAAAAAAAAAGAAAAGAAAGGGAGAGACAATTTCTTCCTGATAAAAGCTGACATGGAGAAGGCATATGATCGCGTGTCTTGGAACTTTCTTGAGGCAATGCTGCGGAAGATGGGATTTTTGGAGATTTTCATATCCTGGATTATGACTCGTGTTAGAGGAAAATGTCAATTCTGCTGAATGGTAGCCCATTTAGTGAAATCTCTCTCGGAAGGGGCCTCCGACAAGGCGACCCGCTATCTCCCTACCTGTTCATCCTATGTAGTGAGCTCTTGTCTAGATTGTTCGACAAAAAAAAACTTGCCAAAGTAGTGGTTTCAAAGGATTCAAGATTGGTGGGTCTGACCCGATGCTTTCACATCTCTTATTTGCGGAGAATCTGGTGATTTTTGGGCGTGCTACTCCGGATAATTTGACTAGTGCCATGATGATCTTGAATAAGTATTCTGCTCGGTCGGGGCAGAAGCTAAACAAAGAAAAGTCTCACATTTTATTCAGCCCCAACGTCCCGGAAGAGATGCGCGTCAGATTAATGTCTTCTGTTAATATGGCGCCGATGGACCTTAATGCCAAATATTTGGGAATTAAGATATTCGACGGGAACGCTCGCAGTTCCAACTGGAGGGAGATCATTGATAGAGTTAAAGCTAAAGTTGCGGGGTGGAAAGCGATAGTGTTATCGAAGGCTGGAAGGCTCACTCTTATTCAGTCAGTAGCCCAAGCGATGCTGGTGTAGCAGATGATGACAAAACTGATCCCAAAGAAGGTGTGTGCTGAAATTGATAGTGCGCTTTGCAAATTTTGGTGGGAACGGCCTCGGATCGGAGGGGTGTTTGTTGGAAGAATTGGAAGTCGATTTGTAGGCCTAGATTATTCGGGGGCCTAGGTCTTCATTAGATTGAGGACGTTAGCAATGCTTTTGCTGTGAAATGGGGATGGCTGATTCTTAACCAGAAGGGTGGGCTTTGGTCCAATGTGATTATGGCTCACTATGGTCGGGGCCGTGATATGCTCAATGCAGTAGCAAGGCCTTGGGACTCGGCTTTTTGGAAAATGTTTGTTAAGAAACTTTTGATTCTCTCCCTTGGGGCTTGTCAACGTATTGGTAGTAGGGACGGAATCAATATTTGGGATGGTGTTTAGATCCATGACGTTCCCGGTCATCGTCCAATCGAGCTCTCGCACCAGGCCTCATTGAGGCAAAGGATTAAATTCTCACCCTTAGGATGTGGAATGAGCAGCTTATAAAGGCGGCTTTCGATAGAGTTTCTGCTAAAGCTATGCACTCCATTCCAAATCCGGGGCTTGGAAAACCAGGTTGGATGTGGACTGGGGAGGAGGCTTCGGGTGATTTCTCTTTAAAATCTATTTTCAAACTTGCAAATGGTAATCGTTGGAGTGGTTCATCTGTGGCTGCTGTCAATTGGAAAATGATTTGGCATTTGAAAGTGCAGCAGCGTCACTGCCTGTTATGGTGGCAACTAATATGGAACATTTTTCCTGCGCGAGCAGTGGTCAAACGAATCCTCGATATTGAGCCAACTTGCCCTTTGTGTGGAGAGGAGATTGAATCGACCACACACCTATTTCTATATTGTCAATTCGCAAAGCAGTTTTGGTTCTTGTCGTGTTGGGGATTTCGGATTGAGGCAATCCAAGCTGAATCAATGGTGGATTTTTTTCAATTTTTGTATGCATCTTGACCAGGTTGGTGTGAACCGATATGATTTTGTTCTTTTTGCTAGTATCCTAATGGATCAGATTTGGATGGTTCGGAACAAAGTCATTCATGAGGGCTGCATTCCGAACCCATCTATTGCTACAGCCACAATTGCCTCTTGCTTCAACAATGCCCGTACTGTGATTTTGGTTCCTCGAACGTCCCAAGAAGAACCGGCGAATTGGTTGCCTCCGCCGTCAGGCTGGTTGAAGCTAAATATTGACATTGCCCTTGGAGTGGATTTTGCAGTTGCCTCAGTAGTTGCCCGTAACTCTGGTGTTGGTCGACTCGGCTTTGCCTGAGTGATGTTGAGTCTCTAGAATTTTTGGCTTTGCGTGAGGTGTTACTCCAAGCTGGAAGCAGACAGATTTCGTCTCTGGTTATCGAGACAAATTGCCAAACCGTAGCCAAAGCCCATTCTCTCCCTGCTCCTACTTGGCGTAGTATATTGATCATGGAGGATATCCGCCGAAGAAACCTTATTCCAAAAGATTTCATCATTCACTGGATCCCAAGATCCTGTAATTTTGCTGCACGTAATCTTGGTAATTGGTGCCTAGTCTCCTCTGTTTTTGGCGTTGTTAGTATTTCTTTGTTGCCTTTGAATGTTCTTTCGGATGTTATTGAGTGGGTCAGGTCTTAATTTGTCTAAGCCTCCCAGCTCTTGGTTGTTTTCCGCCTTGTTGTTGCTTGGCTTTTGGCTTTAATGAAATCCACTTATTAACGAACAAAAAAAAGTGAATCTCCTAATTTATTAGTCAAGAACTTTTAATTAACCCAGTTACCTCTCCCGAACGTCAAATTAGATAATAAGCTCTAAATCCGATTTCAATATCCCTATTAAAAGCCAAGTAATTTAAACATTCATTATGCTCTAGTTCTCTTAATGACTACGAAAGTATTTTGAACCTCCCGAACTCTAAAAACTTAAGTTGTGCTATCCAAATCGGATGTATAAATTAGCTCTCTAAGTGCCTAACTCATACATCAAATCATCTAATTTTTTCCCCAACAAATTAGAAGCATTAAGAATGGTACAGCACAAATAAATCATGAAAAATCACTTAAAATAAATCAACACTTCATAATTAGGTAAAATCAAAGCTCTAAAAAGACAACTACTCCATAACGAAAATTAATGAAAGTAAAATTAAAAGTTCCATCATTTACAAATCACAAAAATAAAAAAATGAGAATAAAAATGAAAAACTCATTTTAGAGTTGTCACAATCTCCAAATTCTTTCTTCTCCTCTCCTTCTTCTTGATCTCCAAATGCTTTTTCCCATAATGATTTATTGAAAATAAAACCTAAATCTAAAACTAGAAATCAAATCCTAAAGCAAAATAAAAGAAAATATAAATATATATATATGTATATATATTTTACATTTTTTCTCTCCCGTTGGCTTAAATATTTTAGCTTTTGCTTTTTCTTTTGATTTTTTCGGGCTCTGAGCTAAGGGGGCAAGACGATCTGTCTCCTCCCCTCTGGCGGCTGTTAATCATCCTGAGAATCAACGCCAAGGACAAAGCCTTACGGCTGGTGATGCAGCTTTCCACGTGGTGCGAACAGAGTGGAAGGAGAGTAAGTGGACAGGTGGGAGCGTGGGGTTGGTAAAATACCCAGGTCCACGGAAAGTCAGGCGAGTGCGACGCGGGTGATCAGACATGTTGGAACCGCCTAATTTTAATTCCCTTGATATTTTTGACCCATTCCAGCTTTTCCTTTTCAATTTGGCTCCTTTTTTTTGTACTTTTAACCCCATTTTATTTCAAACTTTTCACTTAAGTCCCTCTGTCACAAAGTTAAATACAAATGAGAATATTAATTATTTTGGAAGAAAAGCTAAAATAGAAATTACTAAAACAAAAATAAATTCAATAAAAATCTAAAGTAAAATAAAACTAATAAAATGAAATAAAAACAAATGAAATTAAATAAAACTAAAATGAAAAGTAAGTTAACTAAATTTAAAATAAAATAAAATGAAATCTTAAAAACTAGCCAATTTAAATGCAAAAAATGGTATAATAACTCTATTAAATAGAGTTATCACTTGTTCCAATTATTCATGTAGCACATGATCTAATAAATTACAAAGTGAGAATTGTCCAATGCAAACATATGTGTGTGTATTTGCTTCAAATACACGGGAATGTGTTTAAACAATTAATAAAAATATATATTGAAGATTAGCTTCAAATTACTCTCTGATAGTATTAAGTGTTCTTGCAATTGGATTGTTTTTTCCAGGAAAAAATTATATTGCATTGACAGGATATCACATTTACTTAATCCATTTGGGCAAGAGTCCTTAGTATGAGACTTTAGAATTGAGGAAATAATGCACAGCTTTT